GATGCTACTGTTGAATAGGCCGAAATATTTGGTATGGATGCTCGTTGACCTAAAGTATAAAAATACAGAGGACATAATGGTTTATTTTGGAAAAAATTAGAAAGTTGCATATACCTCCGCCAAATGATGAATAAGAATTTTGAGTATGTTGATCATTCATCGTAGTCTGATTATTAAATAATTCGGATAATGCTGCATATTTGTCAACCTGCCAACAAAACCAAAACTTTACATGGCGGAAAATCAGAAAAAAGAAACTTCATCTACCGGTTCAGATGGTGGTTGAGTTAATGTTTTATCAGAAGGTTTTGAATTTGTGCTCTCAGCGAATGCACCCCAACTACTATCATTATTTTGTGCTTGAGTCGGAAACGAACCAAATGACTGATCTAAAACGAACGTAGAACGACATTAAAAAGAAAATGGTATAAATATACTCTGACCATCAACAAGAGATCTGATCGGGTTAAGAAAATATAACTCGAACACGATCCAATTCGGATCGGATTGCGCACTTCTGCCGCCGGCAGTGGTATAGCAACCATAGGATCGAGGATGGATCATGAGCCATCCTTAAAAAATATTTCATACTACCTCTGATGATACGGACGCTTGAAAGACTCAAAAAGAACACCTGATGATAATGGGAGAAAGATAAATTGAGTTTTAGAGAGAAAAATTCTAAGAAATTAATTGGAAAAGTATGCTGTTTCTCCTCGAAAAATTCTGGCTACGTCCCTGATCACCAGCCAACAAGACACGCATTAGCATTCAATGTCATGAATACTTCAAACATTCCAATACTCTCTGCTTTTTCTTACTGGAAAACAAACTGTTTGCGGTTGACGTAACCGGTGTCGTTGAAGAGAACACATCGAATAAAGCTAAAAGGAACAGGAAATATTACAACATTTCTCAAGCATCTAGCTTTACGTACCATTGGGTGACGTTCTATTCGCTGTTGTTGATGATGTAGTCACCGGTGTATCAAAAACAAGCATTGGAGCTTGCGAACTTTTTCTCGAGACAAACGATGTGCGAACAGGCTATAAAACAGATGAGAAAAATTAGTTGCTGACCTTATTCATAGACTAGATTATAGCACTTGAGAAGGAGCAGGAGGAGTTGGATGTGCTTCATCTTGGATGTGAGTTGAATTTGGAGAATTGGGTGTTTGTACCAAAGCTGTTGAATTTGTAGAAGTTTTTGCATTGCCATTATTTGTTTTTTCTAGTAATGCATTAGTGTCTGCTCTGGCTTTTTGTTTCACAGCTTCAGTAGGCGCGACATACCATCTAAAAAATCAAAAACCCATCAAACAGTGTGAAGATTTCGATTTTATAATCAACATTAGAGGAAAAAAATCTAATTACCGCTTGCGTTCATATTTTTGAGATAAAAATTCTTTGAATCGTTCTGTATCTTTTGGATCTGGACTAAATCCAGCGTTTGAATCATACAGACCGAGATAAACCGTTTTGTTTAAAGAATTTCCATGATTTCGCATAAATTCGACTTCATCTTGCGTGAATGTTGACATATTAATCGATTTAACACGATGTGGTGGATTGAGTCCGCGACTTAACAACAACAAACATGATGTTTATAAGTAAACTCTCTTTTTGATTTCGCAGTGACATGTTAAAAATTTTCTTAAGCTATATGAGTGTGAGCTCATTTGAGAAACTACGAGTGAATGCAGTGAGTTGTTCACAAGAATAAAAGTTGCTTATATAAAATCTGTTGAAAGACCTCGCCTTTTGCACAGTACAGTTAGATATAGTATAGATCTCTACGTTCACAACTGAGGGAGCAGTTTTAAAAGTGATGTATACATGAAAACAAACAACACCACAATTCAGACGACATTTGTTAGTTCGATTAACATGATAAACTTACAGCAAACCACTACACGCAGTACATACAAAGCTTCCAATGGTCATGCTAAAAAAGAGTAAACGCCATTAGCTATTATCAACTATACAACATCAATATAACCGATACGCACTTTACATAGGTTGGTCCTTTCTGGTGACAATCAAAACATTGTTTATTTTGCGGTAAAGCGGCTAAATCCCTTATTAATTGCACATATTTTTCTTCTTGTCTTTTCGCTTTCGATGTATTTGGATGAGCCATGATGAATATTATAAATAATATGTTTAACACACAAGAAAGAAAAATGACGGAAAAAATGAACAAATGATAATTGTTACAATTTTAATATCTAAAACCGAAAAACATCGAGAAATTTAGTGCAATGTACGTGAGTTTGAGGCACAGTAAATAAGTGAAAAAGAAAACAGAAAAACTTCTTTCAATATTAGCCTTTATTGCAATCAACATCAGCCCACCATAAATATTCATTCATTTCTTTAATCAAATGTTCGATTCCATGATCAACGTAATTATTATTGTTGGCAAACTCTAATACCATTTCTTGTCATTACAGCAATTTCTGCAATCATTGTTTGAATGCCCATTCTCTTCTAATGTATTAACGGTCTTAAATAATTTAATAAATGTTTCATTTTTCTCAGATTTAACATTCTCAAGTAAATTTCTGCGCTTGAAAATGTATGGTCATAAATTGTGGATTTTTTCTTATATTATTATCCACAATCCATATTTGTTCACACATATTCTCATTTTTTT